AAAAGACTCCCAAATTGCATAACTCTTAACTGTAGGGAGAAAAGAAAGTCCTTGACTGGTGCCTATGAGATGTGAAGAAGTAAAGGCAAGAGTAATTAGCATTACAAGTTCTAGACAGGGAACTAGAAAAAAGTCAGAACAGGGCAATTTTCAAATGTTCATATGAGAGTCCACTGGAATCTCTTGACAAGGGCTTTCAAAAGCATCCATTTATTGGGTTCCTCCTCATTTTTCTTTTGTCTTCCAAGGCTTGACTCCAGAGTGATGAATTCAGGATTTGCTTTCAGGTATTTTGATAGCTGTTGGAGTGGTTAGAATCAGTGTCAGTTCCCTCTCAAAGGCTTTTAGATAGGGGGAGAAAACAAATTTATCTATCATTTAAGAACAATTGCTGGTTGTCTCCCTTAGTTACAGGTCGGCACTACAGTATTGAGAGACCAGCATTTGAAGTCTTACATCTGAGTAACACTTTCTAATTAGGAACAAAATCATCAATGAGAAATAATTGTCTAAATAACTTTTTATATAGACTTAAGCCTAATGTCTGGGATGTGTAATCCCTTAAAGAAATACACTGATGACTTTACTCCTTGGTTATACTTTCCCTTCGGGTGTTTAAGACCATACAGTTGGCCCAAGTAAATCAATTTATTTTTACACTTAAGGTCATTTGAGGATCTGTTCCTCAAGGGTGACATGGGCTTGGGAGGAGCTCCTGGCTCCTTTCTTTTACCAGTTCCATCTATGTGAAGATAAGTCAAAGGTCCTGCTTGAGCATGTCTGATACCCTATCATTTGTATCCATTTTATAGCTCCTTATATAAACTAGACCTGACTAAAATTTCCCACTGTTCATTGTAGATACTGACTTTGCTTATTATTACCTATCCATTTAAATAAGTTAGTGTTGAACTTGTCAGAATTAGCATTGTATCAATGTGCTAATAACAAATTTTAAGTCTTGGTGAATTTCAGATTTAATGAAGAAGAAATAAAACAAACTTGTGAGGGAATATGGCAGTAAGCCTCTTTTCATCATTCTTCCTTTGGAAATATTCTTCCTTATCTTTTAAATTAAATTTAACTGATACAGGAAAACATAAAAATTGTATATAAATAGTGGGCAGTGAAAATATTTTGATCCACGTCTGCATTATGTAATGTTTAAATCGAGTTAAATACGTCTACTGAAATACTGATCATCTTCATAGTAAAAACATTTACATTCTTTTTGGTTTTTAAGTCAAGATCTCATATAGCCCAGGCTATCTTGGAATTTGCTGTATAGCTGAGGACAGTATTGAATTCTTGATCTTGCCTTTACCTGAGTACTGGGCTATAGGCATGTGCAACTGTTCCTGGTTTTATGGTGTGCCAGGGATGGAACCCTATCTTCATGCTAGCAAGCATACCACCAACCAAGCCACAACCTACCTAGCCCCCTCACATTCTTCCTTTGGATTCTTTAAAATGTGCTACTATGACTTATCACACATGGTCACCCTACTGTGTGATAGAACACCTGAACTTCCTGCTCCTAGCTATCACTTAGTGCTCATTGGTCCATTTCTCCCTATCGTTCCTTGCCCTTTATTCTCACCAGGCTGTTCTTATCTTCTATGAACTCAACTTTTTAATACTCCATGAGTGAGATCATGTGAGCCCTACTTTTCTGTTTGTTGGGTATTTCACTTAACTTAATGATCTTCAGTTTTGTCCATGTTGTTACAAATGATGGGATTTCCTTTTTATAGCTAGATGGTATACCACTGTGTAAATGAACCACATTTTCTTTACTCATTTTTCATTCAGCACATACTTGGCTTTCTAATCGTGTCATGAATAGGTCTGCAATAAACATGAGAATGCAAATACCTCTTTAACATGCTGACATTTCCTTTGGCTTCATACCCAAGGAGTGGGACTGCTGAATCGTTTGGTAGTTCTATTTTTAATTATTTGATAATTTTTTATATTCATTTGTATGTGCATATGTATATATTTATATGTGCATGGGTACATGGGTCATTATGTAGAGGTCAGAGGACAACTTGTGGTTCTCTTCTACAGTGTTATGTTCTCGGAATTGAATTCAGTTCATTAGGATTAGTGGCAAGTTCTTTTACCTGATGTCCCATCTTGCTGGCCTTATTTTTAAGTTTTTGAGGAACTTCCTTTCATTGTTGACTATCTTCATTGTCTTTTAAATCATACCCACAACTGTCATCAAAGCAGCCTTGATTTAGAATTGGTTGTGAGATGTTTTAGGAGATAATGTATACTGCCCTCCCTCATCACAACCCTTTGCCTTCTGCTTCTCTTAATTCTGCAAGGTGCTAGAGAGATACATTTTTTTTCCTCTTTTTGAGACAGGGTCTCCCTGTAATGCCAGCTGGCCTGGAACTCACTCACTATATAGACCAGGCTGGCCTTGAACAGAGAGAAATAAAATTTAACTTGTCTAAAAGCATTAGAAACTTCTTATTAATAAAAAGTTAACTTGATTTTAATTTATATTACTTACAGCATTCTTTTTTCTCTGCAGAAAACCATAGGCAAAATTGCAGCATGCTTGGAATTGCGAAGTGCAGCTTTGCAGGTAAATAGAGGTTTTTCACTTACTAAATCAGAGTGAATTACTGTGATGAAATGTTAAGCATTCATGCCAAAAGTTCTGTTGTCTCAGAAGCACTGTAAACCTACAGGAATTCATCAGTAGCATGCTACTACATAATTTATTTCATATCTGTAAACTATAGAGATAGAGATGTGATTTTAATTTTTTCTGTTACTTTTAGCCTGAATGTTCTAAGAATGCAAAACAAAAACCAGCTTGGGACTTTTCATTTTCCACCTTGAAAGCAAGAAACAGATTCATTTTGAATATTTGGTTCTTACCACTTAAGAGACATAGGGTACAGTGAAATCGTTGTAGTAAAAAGATGTAATATGCATATTTTAAATTTAGTCCACACAGTCCCAGGAAGAATTTAAACTGGAGGACCTGAAGAAGCTAGAACCAAGTAAGTTTTATCTTATGGTACTCTTGTGATACTCTTTAGGAAAATACTTTATTATCGATATTAACACTATTTAGCATAGATAGTGATCGTATTTTTTTTCCTCTTAATATCTAATCATATGTTATCTTTTCAGCCCTTCTTAAATTCCTACAATATTTGTAGTAGTCATAACTTGGAGTTCATTACAGAATATATAAAGCTATATTTCATGTAAATATATATTAGCCTTTATTTTGTCTTGATTTCTTTAATAAGACTAGTTACTTTGGTAAACATTTATAGCAGAGTCTGAAGTCACAGTCAGTGATGCCATTGACCTGACATGCCATTGAAAACAATAGTCCCCTGTTGGGACTTCTTGTCCCCATTTTTTCCTTCCTCTTTTAAAACTTTATGAAGCAAACAATTTTTAAAATGTTTTGGTGGTTAAGATGTTGCCAAAAAGCTGCCAGAATTGTGGGGGTTTTGTTTTTGTTTTTGTTTTTGTTTTTTTCTGGTTGCAATGACTGTTCTCTTGAAATGTTTTCAGTATGGGCAGAGGTGCAGAGGTGGATATGACCATGTGAACTTTAGCCACTGCCATTGAGACAGGATTGTACATCTTAACATGCTTATGGAAGCAGGGGACAGTAGTTTCAGATACATCTGTTAGGGAGATCTCAACAGGGAATCATAAGATCATAGCATTTTAGAACAGAAAAGAAACTTGGCCGCGTGGTCACGTTCTCTCACTTAAAGCTGAAGAATGACATGAAGTGATTAGCCCTCAGTAGCCAAGTGAGGCCTGAAGCAGGCGAGCTCAGTTCATGTTTGTACAGTCCTTTTGATGTCTCCACACCTCAGGTAAGAGACAGACATAAGTTATTGAGGAGGATGATCTGTGATTGTAATGGCTGGTCCAGGCAGAAAGAAGTTCGCAGAGTCTGCACTGAAAAGGATCCAGTTTCTGTTGTTTTGGTTAGGTTGGTAGGAGAGAAGCAACAAAAAACGGGAACACATTCCAGATTTGTTGTGATTCTGGTGGCTTTTTCAGAATTGTTAGGTGATCAAATTTCATCTTTTCAGAACACGATACTTCTACATATGGCAAGAATTATAATGAATTGTGTCATTTTAATAGTTTTGGTTACTTTATGTAATCCAGACCATAAACCTTTTGTTACAAGAAATTTAATTTTATATTCTAAAATAGTTCTTATCTGTACCCAATGTATATAGGAACACCAGTCAATAATGTAAAATTTTTCACATTTTTTTATTTTGAATGACCACATTTTCTTATGTCAGGAACTTTATCTTATGACTTTAAAAAAAAAGCATTAACAAACTTTAAATAACAGCTTCATTGAGAAGTAATTCACATACTATAGAATTCAGTAATTTAAAGTGAGAAGTGAGTAATTCACTACTTTTTATTGTATTGCAACTGTTTTGCAACCATCACCACAGATAATTTTAGGATTTTTTTGCCACTCAACAAACCCGATATTCCCTGGTAGTCATTTATTTCTTCTCTCTCCATTACCAGCTCTAGGCAACCACTAATTTAATTTGTCTACAAACTTGTCTATTCTGAACATATTTTATGAATGGAATCATATGATATGTGGTCTTTCATAACTGGCTGTATGTAAGACTATTTTGAGTAAAATACATTGATAACTTTAAATGAAAGATTATAACTCAGACTTCTATATTTGGTGGTAGAATGTGTGCCTAGCATGTGTGAGGCCCTGGGTTCCAGCTCCAGAACCACAAACAAACAAACATAGCAAGGCCACAGCTCTGGTCATATCCATATCTGATAGAGTGGTTCTAAAGAAAATTCTTAGGCTTTTTTTTTTTGTAATGATAAAGATTAGGATTTTGGCATCTTAAAATCACTATACCAGATGATGGGAAGACCTCCCATGTACTCATAGATTGGTAGGATTAATATTCAGTGCAATCCCCATTAAAATTCCAACACAATTATTCTTCCAAGAAAGTGAAAAAATAATCTCAAATTTCATATGGAAACACACACAAAACTAGAATAGCCAGAACAGTCTTAAAACAATAAAAGAACTGCTGGAGGAATCACCATCCCTGATAACAATTTTTAAAATTTTATTTATTTTTATTCTATGCATATGCATGTATTTTATGTGTATGCATTGCACCCATGTTGTGCAATGGCTGTGGAGCACAGACGAGGTTTTCGGATTTCCCTGGAACTGGAGTTACAGACAGTTGTTAGCTGCCATGTGGGTGTTGGGATTTGAACTTGGATCTTTTGCAAGAATAGTCAGTGTTCTTAACCACTGAGCCATCTCACCAGTCCCCTGATAGCAAATTATACTACAGAGCTATAGTAATAAAAGCAACATGGTACTGCCATAAAACATTGAGCAATGGGATAAAATTGAGAATTTATATTTAAGTCCACACATAGCCTCCTGATTTTTAATAAAAGGAGCCAAAAATACTTATTAGAGAAAAGACAGCATGTTCAACAAATAGTGCTAGTCAAACTTGATAGCTACTTAGAGACAAATGAAGGTAGATCCTTATCTCTGACCCTGCACAAAACTCAACTCCAAATGGATCAAGGACCTCCACATGAGAATATAGATCTAGGGTCTAGAGATGACTCAACGGTTAAGAGCACTGGCTGCTCTTGCAGAGAACCAGGGTTCAGTTCTCAGTATCCACATGGTGGCTAACAACAATCCATAACTCTAGTTCTGGGGAATCAGAAACCCTCTTCAGACCTTTCTGGGCATTGCCCCCATGTAGTGTACTTACATACCTGCAGGCAAAACACTCGTACACATAAATGCAAATTTTAAAAAGAATATAGAACTTTATAGCAAATTTATCATTATATTGTATCTGATGCACTGGTTCTAAAGAAAATTCTTAGGTTTTTCTTTTAATGATAAAGAATTCAGATTTTGGCTGGGCGTGGTGGCGCACTCCTTTAGTCCCAGCACTTGGGAGGCAGAGGCAGGAGGATCTCTGTGAGTTCAAGGCCAGCCTAGTCTACATAGTGAGTTCCAGGACAGCGGGGGCTACAGGGAGACCCTGTCTCAAAAAGACCAAAAAAAAAAATAAAATAAAATAAAAAAAAGAATTCAGATTTTGGCTTATAATCACTAGACCAGAAGCTAGAGATTCCTATGGAGGAATATGAGTAATATAACCTTGCTGCTACAAACCTTACTAGTTTGTTGACAGTGAGGAGAAATCTGCTCAGAACAAAATACAATGCTTCTGTGTCTCTCTTTAATTATTACCTTTGATATCAGTCTTTTGACTAAAGTACCACAGGAAGGAGGTAGTCTTTCTCTGGTACCCCATGTCTCATCTAGGACTTTGTACATAGGAGAAGTGTTTGGGGTTTATTTTCTAAGGCCTGCTATGAACAAGTACACAATGGCTTTGGGATGATAGGAGTGTGTGTGTGTGTGTGTGTGTGTGTGTGTGTGTGTGATGTGAGAGAGAGAGAGAGAGAGAGAGAGAGAGAGAGAGAGAGGATATGTGTTAAATATGTGTATGCATGGAAAAATTGATAAAAACTAGCCATGTAAGATATAATATTTGGCTTTTATTCATAGAGGAATTCATGTTTATTTGTCTTTTTATTGTAGTCCTAAAGAATATTCTTACATATAATAAAGAATTCCCATTTGATGTTCAGCCTGTCCCTTTAAGGTAAATAACTGTTCATATTGATCTTTCCATCTTACCTACTTTATACATGTTTTTCAGATATAAAAACAAGTATGTTTTTGGGCTATTTCTGGTTATTCATTCATTTGTATTTTATGTATATGAATGTTTTGCCTGCATGTATGTAAGTACACCATAGGCATTGCATGCACACCCAGAAGAGGGCATCGGATCCCATGGAACTGGAGTTATGGATGGTTGTTAGCTGCTACATGCGTACTAGGAATCCAACCTGGGTCCTCTGTAAGAGCAGCCAGTGCTCTTAACCACCTGTGCACTAAGTAAGAACAGAATAGTTAGAGTAAAACAGCCCCTCTGATTTTTTTTTTAATACCAACTTTGGTGTCACTGGTATGATTGACATCAACACTGATAATAGTATAGCAGCCTCTTAAAATGATGAGCATCTAACTTGGAAAAGGAACAGTTATTAAGTTTCGTTCAGGTATTAAGTATTGTAGCTCATTGTTTTTTCTGTCTTTTTTCATGTAGACGAATTTTAGCACCTGGTGAAGAAGAGAATTTGGAATTTGAAGAAGATGAAGAAGAGGGTGGTGCTGGAGCAGGATCTCCTGATTCTTTTCCTGCTAGAGTTCCTGGTAGGCATCACTTATAAAGAGTATGCATTGTTTCATCCAACAAGGTGTATGGAACTTAGGTTGGTATTTACTCATGGAGAGGAAAAGCTCTCCAGAGCCCTTGCCAGATGTAAGCATGTCTTCATGCCTGTGTTCTGTCAGTAGCTGTTTAAGCACATAGTATGCTTGTCTTTGTCAGTTTGCAAAAGCACGTTCAGTGATTCACTAGGAGGACACACAGCACTCAACATGTATTTGTACTCACAGCTATTAGTTATTAGAAGAGAACACAGAAACAAAATAAACCAAAATAAAAGGCATGTGGGTCAAATCCAGAGGAAACCGGGTGCCAGATCCCAGGGTCCTCTCCCCTTGGAGTCACAGAGGAGATACTTAATTCCCACTGCAACAAGTTGAAACAGCACCTGTAAAAGACGAAATGTCAGCTCCTTCTAAGAAGTTCAGTGCACAAGTGTATTACACAAGGGCGTTATTGGGAATTAATCATGTAGTCACCTTCTATCACAAACCAAAATTCCATACAATAGAAGGAATGCAAGTGTTCAGCACAAATCATACTATTTGCACAGACAGTGTAGGCATCATGATATGATTGGGGGTTGATGGGACCCATCATCAGATCCAAGATCTGAAATGCCAGTCACAGGCCATTCTTCTTCTAAGTTGGCTTTCTAAAATAACTACCTTAGGTCTGCTATATCAGCCCTTCTCTGTATAGTATCATAATCAATCCTTAATCAAATTAGGATTTGTATAACTAGACCCAGGGTGAACAGGTTCTGGATAGTTGCCCTCATCTAAGAGAAATAAAGAATACATAGCTAACCTCAGATGAGGATTGTATTAGTTACTTTTCTGTTACTATGATAAAATACCATGACCAAGGCGACTTATAGAAGGAAGTTTATTTGGCCCATGGTTCAGAGGATTAGAATCCATAATGGCCAGGGAGGCTTGGTGACAGAGGTGGCTAGAACAGAAAGCGGAATGATCCCATCTTCAAGTGGGCACAGGAAGCTGAAAGTACTGGAAATCTGGCCAGGCCGCCCCAGTGACATGCTTCCTCCAACAAAGCTGTACCTCCCAAAACCTCCCAAAACAGTGCCACAAACTGGGGACCAAAATGTCCAAATATTAGGAGCATATGGAGGAACATCCTCATTCAAACCACCATAGGGATCTTGGCTGCCTGTGAGTATAAACAACCCAGGGAAACACCTTGGGTAAAATATTACCATTCCCAGTTGCTGCTTTACTTTTAATTGTTCTGTACTGGGGCTGGAGAGATGGCTCAGCAGTTAAGAGCACTGACTGCTCTTGCAGAGGACCCAGGTTCGATTCCCAGAACCCACGTGGCAGCTATGAACTGTCCTTAACTCCAGTTCCAGGGGAATCTGACACCCTCTTCTGACCTCCACGGCACAGCACAACATGGGTGCACTCATATCCATGCAGGCAATATACTCATACGCCTAAAATAAAAAAATAAAATATATATTAATTTTCCTGTTCTTAATCAGTACACAGGTTTTTGTTGTTTATCTGTCTTTTGAGATAGGCTTACTATGTTGCCCAGGCTTTCCTCAAAGTGGCAATCCTTCTGCCTCTTAAGAACTGGAATGACAGGCATGCCATACCACACCTTGCTCAGTGAAGTTTAATACCGATAGTTTACTTTAGGAATTATAATCATGTGCTACAGTACTGTGATGCTTTTTATAAAATACTCTATGAGCTTTATAGTGTAGTTACATATGATGCATTTGCTATCCAGATAATGCCATAATTCAATTAATATTTTAATGTTTTTAATACTATTTGGGAAGGAAAATTGGAATATAAATAAAGGCTTGAGTAAACAGAAGTCTAACCTATGCCACTCATTAACTGAGGTAACTCTGCACCTGTTTTTTTGTAAAATGAAAACAGTCACTCCTAGGATCACCATGAGAAACTAAACATTATAATAAAGCACTTGCATAGTGCCTTTCATATGCCAGATTTTAGTATAATGTTATCTCCATCATTAGCACCAACACTCTTCTCGGTGAGGATAACAGCACCTACACCAGAGGACTTGGGGAGAATTACACATAGTAGGTGTTATTGTTAGCAGTCCTCCTCTGATACAGAGGAGTCTGCTCTGCTTTCTGAAGACAGATGCATTTTTCTTGCTTTTGTTATATTTGTAGGAAGTTTGAAGATTGCTCTATGGTAAGTATTGCTTATTACTCTAAACTACGTCCTGTACTTGATGCAGCTTCCAGCTGTATTAGTTGCTGTTTCATGTGGCCATTCGCTCACTTGCTGTACTGTTGTAGAAAATGAGATAAGGTACTACAGATGATGTATGTAAGTCAGGAAATAGATTCAAGTCTTGGGGTTCAGGTTGCTAAGTTGAAAAGAAACCTATATTACATATTAAATCCATTTTCTATGGAAGATTAGGCTTAAACTGAGTAAATTTTGTATTCTGGTAAAGCATTTTGATATTTTAGAGATGCAGAAAGTTCACTGACCCTTTCTATTCCTTAACTTTTTTTCCTCTCAAAGTAAGGAGTGCCGAGCATGGTTACACATACCTTTAATTCCAGCACTCAAGAGGTAGACAGGCAGATCTCTGTGAGATCGAGGCCAGTCTGGTCAAGTTCCAGGCCAACTGGGGCTCAAAACAATAAAAAGTAAGAAGGAGTACATGTAGTTTATCAAGGACCTACAAGTGCCATTGGGAAACAGCTTGTAAAATCTATACAGTTATATTGATTGAAACTTACTGAAGTAGCAAGAGGACATTTACTAATTGTAGAGCAGGAAATGTTTGTTTTGTTTGCTACTTGCAGAAACACAAGACTTAAGGGATGACTGTACTGTAGCTTTCCATGTCATGGCAGAGTGCTTAAAGGAACTGTAACTTTTTGTTATCTTTATTCTTATGTAACTTATGGATTGTACATTTGTCCAGACCTTTGTAAAAGTCCGGTTCATCGAGAAGGCGTGCACCACCATAAAAGTTGTTCATTTTAACTTACCTTCCTCGGTAGAATCTTTTTTTCAAAACTTTCAAGTCTTGTAAGGCAAACGGATCAGTACATTTCTGTTAAATAACTTAGTTAAGCCAAAATTAGAGTTAATTTCAAAGGTAGTCTTAGCAGATTTCATTTAAATGAGAAAATATAAATTTATAACCTTTTATTTGTTGTCTGAAAATTTATGTAGTGTTGAACAGGAAAGTTATGAAATGATGAATTTAAAATAAGCAGAATAATGTTCTACAAGAGGGTTTTTTTTTAATCACAGGCTGTGAAGGCAGGGACTAAGAAGTTTGACTATGCGGGGCATGGTGGCGCATGCCTTTAATCCCAGCACTCAGGAGGCAGAGGCAGGCGGATCTCTGAGTTTAAGGCCAGTCTGGTCTGCATAGTGAGTTCCAGGACAGCTGGGGCTACAGGGAGACCCTGTCTCAAAAACACC